TATATCTATAATATTTTATAAAAGCTATCAAATATAAGATTTTTGTTTAATTTGATTCATGTAATTCTCTTGTTTTTTTTTTTGATAGATTTTATAAAATCTCTCTCAAAAAAATGTAAGATTTTAATTTGATTCATGTAAGCATTCATGAAATGCTCCTGCTTTAATTGACCAGTTTTGAAACGTCTTTCAAATTGATCACTTTTAGGATGTGATATTACTATTGAGAATAGGGAAAACTTTGAGAAATTCCATTTCAATTTTTTAGCTATTGAAGTCACTGAGCAAAAGAAGAAAACGAAAAGATGGATGAATAAACCTTATGCCTAGCCAGACAGCTTTTTGGCTTCCAATGACCTCCAGATTCAATATTTGAATGTATCCGAGCTATTTCGTACTCTCTAAGATTCTTTATCAACAAAACACCCATTGCTGTTGGTCCAGCTAGAAGAGTTAGCATGAAATTTCATTTTTAAAAATTATATTAAAATTACTTATAGTAAGATATGAAAATTGCAATAATAAACGATAACTAATCCTATCATACAATATAATTTTTCATTCAAGATGCAAAGAGGCAAAAGTTTAGTTTTATTTTTAAATTACCATTCATTCTTTCATTTTTTTTTTTGCAATTAAAGTGGAAAAATTCATTAGAAAAAATTACTAACAGAAATTTGCGATTTCGTCAAAAATAGGACAAAAATTTGAAGCATTCATGTAATTCTCCTGCTTTAATTGATTGCTTTTGAAATGTTTTTCAAATTGATCACTTTTAAGATGCGATATTGCTGCTGAGAATAAGGAAAGCTTTGAAAAATTCCATTTCAATTCTGTTATTGAAGTCCTATAAAAATTACTGAGAGCTTATTTTATTTTTATATTATTATTAATGGTACATTAAAAAAAGTTTAACCAAAATGAAATGAAAATTTCTTTTGTTTGCATTTAACAGATAATTTCTTTTCTGATTTTATGAGCTTACCAATGCATCGACGATGTTTGATCTTTCAATTTAATTTCAACCAATTTCGTCGTTTCATTATTTGCTCCTTTTTCTTCCGTGCGCATCGTGTAATTATTACTTCTTACCTCACTAAAAGATTTTCCAAAATGATGTAATAATAAGCTATTACTATTGCAGAAAAAAAAAATCAAGTTATGGAAATTTTTTATGCTTATAAAAGTTTCTTTGTACACATAAAATTAATGAAAATTTGAAAATTTGACAGATATCTTTTGTTTTAAATTTTCATATTACTTTATTTAATGGATTTAACAGCTTATTTCTTATATAAAGTTTGATGTTTATTTCGAAAATTTTTCAGTTTTTTTTTCTAAAGATCAAATTGATGAAGATGGAAAGGGAGAAAATAAAAGAATATAATAATAATTTCGTTTTTAAAATAGTTCTCATATTACTGATGGGAGAAGTTAATCTTACAGTTACATATCATACACAAATACTGTAAACTTTAGACTTTGCGCATTAAAAGTACATTTATCATGACATTTTTTATCATTATTCTTAGTTAACAAATTGAAATTGTTCAATTTTCTCTCAGCACAATTTTTTTTACTCATCATCAACTGTTATTGTTTACATTGAGGATGTAAAGGATTACAGTAAAATGATGGGTAAAAATCTGTGCTATTTGTTGCAAATAATAGTAACAATATGAGCTGATATCAAATATCGTTTATCATTTTACCTTTGATTATTTGATAAAATTAAAAATTTTTGATTTCATTTAAAAAATAAATTTGTTTTTAAATTTTAACCATGAAACATACATATATTTGTTGCCAAAATAAATGAGAAACAACATACAATAGCTAAATGCAATCATAGCTAAAATATTATTACGCCGATAGCACCGTCTATGTGGGAGTTGTATTCTCATCTTCTTTACATATAAAATGATTTATCTGCCAATAAAAATATCAAATTTTCAAAACAAGAAAGAAAAATGAAAATTTGCATAAAATTCGAACAATTGAAAAAAAAAAAAACTAATCCTATTAGCAATAAAACATAGTGTTCAGGCATTCAATCCATGCTTAAAGAATTGCATGCTAATTATTCTGTGAAGGGATTTCAATTTCCTGATGAACATTCTTTATTTTGTAATGTTTTTATTGTTTACAATAATAATATGAAATGAATACAGTTAAGTATAACCAGCTTAATAAGTCTGTTAGTGTTATCATTTCAACAGCTAATTTTAAACTTCTTATCATTTTTAATGCAAAAATTTACCATTAATCATATCAACTCTCGTGATTTCATCAATTTCTGTTTTTATATTGGACATAAATTCAATTCATATTATTATTGTAAACAATAAAAAAACAGTTAGAAAATAAAAAATGTTAAGTGAATGAAAAATAAAGATGAAAAAAAATAAGAAAAATGGAGAAAAAACAAAATAAAAAAAAAAATAAAAACATGAATGCAATATAGAATAATCGTCTTCTTTGCTTATGCAAGGCTTTATTGAATCGATAATTTCTGCTATATAGGAAAAAATGCAAAATTTCAATTTAATATTATTAATGTCAGGAATTATAATACTATCAAAGTGCATAACTGTATGTGTTAATATGATTAAAAGATGAATAATTAGACTTGGAAATTGCGTAAAAATTTTTTTTCTTTTTGCAGTGCGCTGAGACTGATATTCTGATTGCACTTAACTCTTCTGATTATGACAAGATAATTCTAGGCTTAGCTCTTCTGATTATGATAAGATAGACTTAAATTTTCTGATACGATAAGATAGTTGCAGACTTAACTTTTCTGATTATGCAAGCCAGGAGAGTTAGTTTCCGCTGCTCACTAAAAAGTAAAGTTGTTAATGTGATAAGAAATTTAATCTTTATATTGAAAACAATTATGCTATGTTAAAGAATATATTGTCATCATAATATACTAATGACGAAAAATATTAAAAATTTTAAAAAATTCTGCACGAATATAGAAATGAAAGCAACATTATGACAGTTCAAAGTTGCTCCTATTGTTTTGTCTGTTAATTAAAATGTTAATTGCATGCAAATATGATATGAAATTAAGAGTAAATCAGCAAGTTACAGATTTTGTCTCGAAAAAAAAGCTAAGGTAAGAAAAAGAAAAAAAAAGGAAAAAAAGAAAGCCAAAAAGGAAAGTTGAGAATATTGAAAATGATGTTTATGGAAGAAAATATGACAATTTAATTCAAATTATTATTCTCTTTGTCTTACATATTGTAAATGAAGCGATAAACAAATTTTGGACGCGATATTATTGAGCTCATTTGCAGCGCTTTTGCAAAAATTTGCATATTTTAAAAAAAATAATGATTTTTTTTTTCAGGCAGTTTTTCTTTATGACAATTATTGAAGATGCCCGATAGAATACTAGAATTTGCATTATATAATAAAATACTGTTACTTTGTTTTTTTTTTCTTATAAATTATATAAAATGAATTTGTATTTTAGATAATTTATTCATCACTACATGCTAAAGTCATTGAATAAAAAATTTCGTTCTAGCATGAGAATTCTTAAATACTAAATTTAAACTTATTAGTAAACGAAGAGATGGAATAGGCTTACTGAAACGAAATTTCCTATCCAATAAGCAGCAAATAAAGCTAATGATCATCAGTTTAAATTTAATAAAACTTGAAATTGAAATTGATTTAGTGAGATTCATTTATCGATTTCCAGTGTACAATTTCATTTCCTGGCTTGTAATTTGAGATTTTTTTCTTTTTAAATATAAGCAATTTTATTCAATGCAACACAACAGTATAATTAGAAATTGGACTGCACCATACATTGACATCCGATATCTTCTTTCCTCTTAACTACTCTTATTATTTGACAAGATTTATGGAAAAATGAAATTTTTATTGAGCATTCATGCTTCGCGTATTTTCCAAAATCTAAATTTAATTCTTCCATCAAAGATTATCATTATTTTTTTGAAACAATTTTTTTGATAATATAATGTAATGAAAAGAAAAAAAAAATTAAAACTGTTAGATGAATACTTGCAGGATTATCGTTGTCATTTATTAATATTTTTCCATATGATATCCCAGGAGATATATTGGATAAGGGCGACAAATTACATGAAATTTGAAAATTCTAAAAATTTTTTTCTTATTTAACGAAATAAATTTAACGAAATCTCATTCCTTGTAGCTTTATTTTGCATTAATCTCTAAATATCAACTTCCAACAATAAATAAAATATTACATTTGAATGCTTTTATTCTTATAAATTATACTCAAATAAGTTTCAAATGCAATGTAATAGAACAAAATTTGAAATAATATCATCAAATGCAACAATGAAAAAGAAAAAAAGAATCAAACTCCTATAAAATGAGCCATGATATTAAACACTGTGACATAGAATAGAACCAAGCAAATTACACATAGACTTCACGGAAGAAATGACCATTTTTTTTCACAAGTATAGAAGAAATTAACTTAATGACTTCTTAATTAATAATTATCATTATCAACCTGGAACGATCAACTCAGCTATGGCAGATATGAAGCAGTAATCACACAAATGCTTAACCTGAGTTTATTTCTGAATATGTCTGAAAAACTGAGTCTTCGAAAAAACGTGAACAATTTGAAAGATGGATGATGAATATTTTCGTGCCAAATCTTTAACCTGAAATTTAATAGCGAAAAAAGAGACGGAAACTAAAAGAAATTAATCAGCAAATTCGCATACACAAATTCTGTACATGCAGAATTCGATTTTTTTTTTTACAGCTGCGATTTTCCTTCAGAAATAACTTTCGAATATGCCAATCTTAATAATAAATATAGTAGCTAAAACAACAAAGTAGGGAAAATAATGAAGAGATATAAAATAATGGAACATTTTTGTGCAAATTTAATTTCCTCACTATAACAGAGCACGAGGTACAGTGAAAGGAAAATTTTGAAGTATGACAGACCGAGAAATATCTTGAAATTCTAACAATATCACTATAAATAGAAATAGATTTTAAATATTAGTACTAACAAAAAGGAATAACGAATAATACTAATGAAAATACAAAATTCGTACTATGTAAATAATAAAAAAGAAATCAATGTTTAATTTTATTACATACCACCCACTATATCATGTATTATTCGTTTTGATCAGAATTTATATAAAATTACGATAAGATTACAACATTATTATGCGACCAAAAGTATTATTAAACCTATTTTTTATGAACAGAAAAGGATGAGGAGGATTAGTAAAGTACATGGTTTGGTAATGACACAACCTCCTGATTTGCAGGCAATATAGAGAAATTACTGCTATGATAATGTAAACATGCTGTCAATAACAGAAATTTAGAAAATTTAATAAAGCGGAAGGATGAATGATCACCTTTTCTCTAAGAGGCACATTGGTTATTTCATTGTCCACATATACTTAATCCATCAAGCGAAGATCGTTCTGTCAAGTAATAAAAATGAAGCTAAAAAGTAAATATCTCAGGATTGAAAAATTGAATCGAAAAGATCTACAGATAAGGGCAATAATTACACACTTGAGATCAAGCATAAATTTGGAAGGAGTAAGAAATCGAAAATAATGTACAAATCATGGACTTATGGGTTGATGATAAACAATACATTAAATGGTCAAAATATTGATAAGAAGGAAGAGTGCTTCTCTGCCTGCGACAAAAACTGAGTTTGAACATTACAATACTGGATGTTTCAAGAATAAAAGCACCGCAAAGTTAGGACACTTTTTTTTACTGTAAATAAAAGATGCATTTGCATAACCTAGTCATAAGAGTTAGCTGAAGAAGCAGTTAAAGCTATATGATTATTTACGAGTTGTATATGTTAGAAAATAAAAGGATTATCATATCCAACAGTGTATGTCGCAGAAGAAATCGTAAAACGCGAGACACTTGAAATGACTAGTATTATGCATACACTGAAATTTTGGTCCTTACACTGCCATACTACTGATTCTGGAGAAAGTCTTCAGATCTTTCACAAATAACCATTTAATTTAGACAAACTGTATACTTCGGAAATCATATAAAAT